CTACGCTTCTCGTCAGGTCAGGTCAGGTCGGTCGTGCTCCGTGCACGTGCGCAGATTCTTTCCAGCCGGCGCCGCCGGAGCGGCAAAAACCCTCCCTCTCTCCCTCTCTCTCTCTCTCTCTCTCTCTCTCCCTCTCTCTCTCCTCTCGAACGCTCCTCATTTTCAATACTTTTAGACAAGGTCATTACCCCCTAGCGACGCCAAATCACTTTTGGCCGGAAATGAGCTAATCTCGTGCGATCCGTTTTTATCTCGATGTTATTAGACTTGCGATCGCTACGAGCGTAGCGTTTGAAAGAGGTCGGGCTAGAGGACAAGGAGATATCTCTTGGGGAGAAGCGTCTCTCTCTCTCTCTCTCTCTCTCTCTCTCTGAGAAATGCTTCTGACAGATTAAAGAAGCGTCTACAAGATTGGGGCATCCGTTCAACGTCCGTTAAACTTTCACGTTGTTTGGGAAACTACGACGAGTATATAATTGCGGTCAGCTGAAATGAATACCCGAGTTACATCGTGATTGTCACGACGTTCGCATCTCCGGTTTTATATAATAGAGATTGTCGTATTTCTCGTCAAGCTTATTACAATTCCTCCTTTCTATGATAATTCAGCACCGGAGACAAGTCGAATCGTGCGACTGCGAAATGAAAGATGTAAACTTGATTGTAATATTGGTGACTCTAGAATCTCTTTTTACGTTGAATAATATTCATCATATCAGTCCTCCGATTTTCTTCCCACTCTCCTAGGAAGATTATTACTATTTGTATTAATTAAATGTAAAATATTTTATTTAATCAGTTATTTTTATACCCAATCGTGTGTGCGATTGTTCAAACGTATAATTAAAACAAAAATATTTGCTTTAACATTTAAAACAAGAAAAAAATTTAGCATATTTTCTAATATTGCAAGTTTATATGGACCGATATAACAACTAAACGATTACTTTTCTACAATCACGAAACATAAACAAAATTCAACAAACTGCAACTTTTGTAAAATTAATAATAATGAGAAAGATTACGAAACATTTTGCAGCTTGAAATTGTTATTTTTTATTATTATATATTTTCAAATATAATATTTATTAACATTCTACAGTGTTGTATGAATATAAATGCAGAATTTAAGTCATTCTATTATATAGAAAAATGTTGCAAAAGTTATGGTATTAATATTGTTACAAACTAGAAATTTAAACTTTTAACATATTTATATTATTTATATATATTGCATACTTATTTGAGTATTTTTATTTTTGCTGAAGTTATAAATAAAGTCCATTAAATGTTGTCTATTTTTTCATATAACACAAAAGAACGACTAATTTATATTAAGTTATATTATGAATCAAGTTATTAAATAAAAAAGAAACGGCTCGTAGTGGCAGCTTTGAAACTAATAAAAATAACGAGTGTAATAATAATTAAGTGTCAAAGTATAATAGAAATTTTTTAGTTAATGGCCTGTGACCTGTCATCCATCGGTGTCGAATAAAAGCTCCCGTCAGAAGATTATGAGTTTCGGTGGAATAGTGGTATATTTGAATTAAGGTTTGCATCTCGGCTACATCTTAAGCCAGCGGCACACGGTGCTTGTTTTCGTGCTGAATTGCTTGCTGGATGAAAATACTGTGTTCTGATTGGTATATTTCCATCCATCTTCGGAAATGTACCAGTCAGAACGCAGTATTTTCATCCAGCAAGCAATCCAGCACGAAAACAAGCACAGTGTGCCGCTGGCTTTATAAGAATTAAACCGTAGTTTGAGTCTCGGCTAAAATGTTATTTTATTCGATATGATTATCGGCTTGCAGATTCACCTAGCCAAGACTCGAACCACAAGCTGGCGACTTGCAGATTCACTTAGCCAAGACTCAAACTACGAGTTACCGGCTTGCAGATTTACTTAGCCAAGACTCGAACCACTTGTAATTGGCTTACAGCAGAGAAAAACCTGAGAGCGGCCGATTACATCGGGACGCTTTTTCTGCCGAATTCCGACTCGCCCCCTGAGAAAATGTGTACACACTACATCCTGACGGTAACGGCAAGCGGTTCTTGCTCACTCCACTTCCCCTTACAAGAGATAATGGGTGCTTACGATAACGAGAGTGGAGCGAGTGAGATCTGGATCTGGAGAGAGCAGTACACACTTCCATCTACAACTATTATATTTCATGGCTGCTCCTAATCCTATTCCCTTGCTGTCTCATAGTGACAGGAGTGAGCAGGAGCCGATCGTCTTGTGTGTATACATAACAGAAAGCTAACGTATGCCATATTTTATTTTTTATTGAAAGAATTATACTTATATATCATATGAATTTATAAATTTATAATTGCATATGATATATAAGCATAATTCTTTCAATAAAAAATAAAATATATAAAATAAATTATAAATTTATAAATTCATACGATATATAAGTATAATTCTTTCAATAAAAAATGAAATATGGCATACGTTAGTTTTCTGTTATGTATACACACAAAACGATCGGCTCCTGCTCGCTCCTGTCACTATGAGACAGCAAGGGAGTAGGATTAGGAGCAGCCATGAAATATAACAGTTGTAGATGGAAGTGTGTACTGCTCTCTCCAGATCCAGATCTCACTCGTTCCACTCTCGTTATCGTAAGCACCCATTAAGTTAAACAAGCATAGACGATCGATCGCTCTCCGTATTTGTCGCACCATCAATGAGCGTACGCGCGGCAGGAGGAGGCACGAGGCGAGTCAACGGCAAATCTTACCGCTAAGCCAAAATCTCTCCCGTCCTGCCCCTTCACCTTCTCATCACTCACGCAACGCACTGCTCGCAATTCCAGAAGAAATATTTCGAGACCGCGCGGAAAACTTCTAGCAATGACGCAGCCATTGGCCGCGTTCAGTCGAACAAAGTGATCAGAGAGCGCTTAGTGATTATTGTCTGTGGTTGGAGCATTCTTTTAGATTTTTCATAGACCCAGAAGTATTGACCAATCAGGAGCGAGATTCAATGGAAAATCTAGTAATGTTGTCCAACTGTTGAGTCTGCTGAATGCAGCCAATGTCACGAGCGAATGTCCGGAGCGGACGAGATGCTGAATTGAGAAACAGGACGAAGGGAACGGGACGCGGACAACGATACATCATGCGTCTCCAGACATGTCAAATTGTTTATTACAGAGGAGACTTTGATATGGCAACATGTATTCGAAGATTTAACATTTAATACATACTTTTGTTTTTTCTGCTTCTCCCCTTTTTAGGGGAGCCTCCTCCTCTTTTTAGACCATCGGGCATAGTCTGGCATAGAGATGGCAACTGTGGTTGCAGCACGGACATAAACCGCCTGAAAATAGATGTAGCACGGACTTCCACCACATGCAGATTTTATCATCGAGACATGAAAGTGGTTGTACCATCGTAGTTTCCCTCTGAAAATGGATGCAGATGGCGTCCTTTCCTAGTACGGAAAGTTGGTGTCGCAGAAAATGTCGTGTTGGCCGTTCTCAAGTTTCTCTCTGATTTATTATTTACCAAACATCACTAACAGCGATTCGTTTATCTGCAGTGATTTAAAAAATAGAAAAAAATGTTTCTTCTTATTTCAACATTAAATAACTCAGTTTACACAAATCGCGCTGCAGTTTATAGGAACGCAAATAACAAAAAAAGATCTTCACAGTTTAATTGGCATAAACCTTATTTATACGCGATTTTTATATTGTATAAGCTATCTCAATAAATTTTATAAAACATTTGTGTTCTTTATATATATTAATTTATATTAATGTAACGCTGTAACAAAATAACATATATTATATTTGACAAAAAATTTAGAAACTACAGACGAATTTAGAAAGTACAGACGAGCGTCAAACATACTTTCTTAATTATCTCAATATTATTATTTTTGAGAAAGTTATACTTTTGTAAATTTTAAAGTAAATTTAAATTTAGCGGCATTTAGATTCACTTTTATTTGCTCTCACCAGGGGCGACATTTATTTTAATCACTTCGTTAGTAGCATATCAGTTTGCCTTTCTTAGTTAGTTACCATGTAAAGGAATTACAAGGAACGTTGTAACAGTTTCTAGTATAATATTTCTGTATACAAATAAAAATGTTATGTGTCTGCAATAGTCACACAAGTATCTGGAATAACCAAAAAAGACGAAAATTTTGATATTGTGATATTGTATGAAAAGAAGCTACTTGACAAATTTTTTACTTGACAAACCAGTATGTATGTGATAAATGTGTAATTGTGTATACCTAGTTCTACGTGTTTTTTAACAACTTTTATATATTAGCCTATTAAAATTAATTGAGGGTGTTTAAGTTTTGTAATAATTATAATGTCGCATTCCTGCTTTATATACATTAACGTTTGATTAATATTTAACAATATTCGTTACTTCCAGGACGTCCTACGAAATTGTAATACAGAAACATATGAAAACTGCGTTCGCGAACGAATGCTAATATTATAATTGCCAAATGTGATGGATATATAGAATTAGTTAATTCATCGTAATGTTCATCATAAAACTCAAGCGGCTGTCGAAACAAAAGAATACGTTTCGGTTAGGTCGCGAATGTAAGAAAAAATTACAGAGTTATTTAGAGTTAGATGATTTGCGTTTATTTTGGAATGCGCTAAAAATCAAAGCGGATCCAACGATTGACATTGATTTTACAAAAGGAATGTCAGCGTTGTCGATTTACGGTCACAACTTTCGGAATTCATTATGCGAAAACATTTCCGAAAATTCTGTGCATATCAGACCCGATGTAACATTTAAATTAAGTAATTTAAATATCAATGACGATAATGAAGAAAACTATAATACAAATATATCGCAGCAAGTTGAAATCAATGTTTCACGAAGAATCTCTTGCCTTCAAGTAAGCGACGTTAATCTAAACAGCTTGTACGATAAACTGTGGAATCTTAATATGTTGGAGAATGTAAAAGAAGAGAAGCAACTTTGAGATTACATAAATAAATAAAGAACAGTGTAGATATTATGTGTATGTATGTGCGTGTATGTGAAACAAAAATAGTGGCACAGAAGTGACAAAAAGAAAAAAACAAGAGAACAATCAAAATCCAAAGTTCAAAGTATAACAAGAAAGTATAAGAAGAAAGTATTCTAAACAACACAATCGTTTGAAATACATTTTGAAGACATTTAAAAAATGTCCAGGACACGTAAAATATCTCTTAAAACCCTTTTTATCCCTAAAACACTTTTTAAACATGTATGTTGTCTGGACAGTCAAATATTGAATAACGATATTTAATTTAAGATATTTAAAGTAACATATTTCATAGAAACTAAATAGAAACTAAATGTTACTTTCATATGATTTAAAGTACAAGCGATATAGGATTCTACTTTCTACAAACTATATTAAAGAGTAAAACAAATCATATATATCTTTATATCTATATCTAAAGCGCAATTTTTTGTAATTGATTATTAAATATTTGCATGTCTTATAATAGTTTGTAATATATTGTGTAACTCAATATGTCATTAACAAGATGAATATCAGCATAAAATCCCCTTAAATACTTTATACAGAATCTTATATTTTCTTTTTTCCTACATGAAACATTGAAGATACATGTAGATTGACGTTCAATAAATGACTTCAATAAACTTCTCACCGAGCAAGGTGCGATAATTTTATAAAATAAAATAAACCTCTATTTTGCTGCACGTACAAAACAATATGCAACTTGGCCCACTTAAAAATTTGTAAACTTGTCTCCAGCTCTTTTTTTTGTCAGCCAGCCACACCATACTCTTCATCGCAAAGAAGTATCTCGGGTTGTCTACTTCCTTGGGCTGCGAGTTGATGAGATACACGATCGCAACCTTGGACCATGAATATGTAGAGCGTGTTCTAATTTAACTTAATTACTGAAAATGAAAAAGTGGATGATCAATTGATCATGCAGATGATTATATATCGGCGAGCGGTATCGATAGGCAGAATTTAACGGTTCTTCGGTATTTAGTTTACGATTTCTGTTTGACGTGCTAAATTTCTTTCCAATCAAAGTGTCTCGATATTAGTCACCCACGGTTCAATCAAATTTACGGGCGCGTCTATGAGAATGAAAAAGAGCCAAACACGCGTTACATTGTACGCTCAGGATTAACATAAGCGGATAATCATAGTGCGGAGTTTTATAACGGCTTTACTGGCGACTTACGCTTGGCTGTTTTATCGTTTATTTACCACACTCATGCTTCTCGCAAGGAAATTCTTACATCGTGGGTTTCAGTGTCGCGTATTATCCGCGTTCAGGATGCTTCGTGACAACTCGATGCGCCAGAATCGATTATACACCAAAGCTTGTTATTGAAGCTTCAAGTTACGGCGCTACGTGTGTAACTACAAAATACCAGCCTTTGGATGTTCCATCCTAAATGGCATCATCATCATCATAAATTATCGGTCGCAGCAGCAGATGATATCGGTGCGTGAATTCAACATCTGTAATCAGTGATTCACCGTGAATTGTCAATTCATTCGTCGCGAAGTCCTAGCGATTTTATTAATTTTCAAAGCGACGCGCGAGAAAAACGTGCGGAAAATATCAGTAGGAAGTTTATAAAACGTGTCTGTAAAAATGTGTAATATTTCTCTCTCAGCAATAAATCTGTCATAGAGAATGGAAACTAGCTGTTCATTACTTGAAACCGAATCTACTTCATTTTCTGTTTAAGCTACAAATAATGCAAAAGATGATGCAATTACGCCATAATTTACGACTAATTGCACCGGCAAAAGTCCACGCGATTCAGACAAGCTCGCAGCGACAGTTGAGCTTGACCAAGCATCTCCAGCTAATTCTATCTTTAACAAAAGAGACAAAGAGAGAAAGAGAGAGAGAGAGAGAGAAAGTGAATGAGAAGTTGGCGTGACCGGTCCAAAGGGCCTGTCGGATCTCCGTGGACTTTCAGACAGCCCGACGACTGTTTGACAACAGTAGCAATAACTGCAATATGCGGAGCCGAAGTCCCGAGAGCTGAAGTTGACGAAAAATAACAACGAGCCGCTCCGGCTCGCCGGCGGCGGCACCGCCAAGCTGCCGGACGGGATGTACAAAAGGCATGGGGCCGCGCCGGGTCGGGTCTGGAATGGAACTGGAAACGAAAGGCCTGCAACGGGACGGGGAGTGGTGGATGTCGGGCCGTGTGTACGTGTATGTTGATGCAAGTGCGGTGACTGTGCATGCCGACCGGAGCGGAGCCGATGGAGGAGTCGGTCAGTCAGTCAGTCAGTCGCAGTCGGCGAGTCGCTCTCGGCCGCGCCGCGCGATCGCGTGGGCGTTTCGAGTTTCCTTCGTTTTTCCTTTTTTTTCTTCCGTTTTGTTCTCTCCTTTGGCTCTCTCTCTCTCTCCCTTTTTCTTTTTTCCTCTCCTGCCCTTTCTCTTTCTCTCGCACTCTGTGTTTCTCTCTCTTTCTCTCTCTCTCTCTCTTTCTCTCTCTCTCTCTCTCTCTCTTTCTCCCTTTCTCTCTCTCTCTCTCTCTCGCTCGCTTTCGCCTCCCGTTCTGTGCGGTGTTTTAATGTGTGCACCGAGAAACTCTATCCAGAAGAAGCCGCGCGCCGTTCGCCAACGGGATTAGCCGAAGCTGTCGCCCGACTGGAATGCGGAACGCGATCCCTGAGATCCTGGGACGGTGAGGACTTGTCATTTATTTTTCCAATTAGCGCTCACCGCGCGGGATTCGGTCGAGGTGCAGCACGAGCGGCGCTGCGGAGTTGGAGCGGATCGTTCGTAAGGCCCGCTTCGTGTGTGAAGTCTCAAGCGGATCTTGCGGAGTCTTGCGCTCTTGATCCACTGCGGGATACGCGCGTCGACGGTCGCGTGTACCTGGAAGAGAAAAGACGGGGGATCTGTATTCTTCCGTCGCATAATTTTCCAGCGCGAGAAGCGCGCGACACGCGCGGATCCGGGCGATCTCGACGGAGTATTTACGATTGCTTTGCGTCGCTCCGTTCTTTCCCGTTTTCGTGAGAAGTAGACGTCGCGATCGTTGTATAATCCAGAACAAATAAGAGGAGATAAGCACATTTATGACGTACACACGAATTGTGGACTCACGTCGAGTCACAGTTCCGCTGCAGCACCACTCGCTGATAATAGTTTTCATCACTTGTAATTGTCAGCGCTCCGTGCGCAGCGCGTGTATTTAATGCGATCGTCGCAATGAGAGAGAGAAGACGGAAGGATGCGGGGACCAAGTCTGAAATCACTTCTGTCATATATACGAGAGAGGTAATGCGCATTCAGACAGGAAGTGTGTCTTGCGAATCATATGCCTATAATTAAAAATTCGAGTCATCTCGTCTGTGCGCAAAGGGAATTTTGCAACAAAAATTGCTGAAGAATGTCGTAGCTGATGAATATCTCGACATGTCGCTCTATTTTTATTACCCTTCCTGCTTCATATCCGCCGTTTACGTTGCAGAAATTGAAATCTACTGCCAAAAAGTTTTCCCCCCCCTCTTTTTTTTCTTAACAATTGTTACGTTTTTTAAGATGAATTTTGATGGTCTGTTCTCGCGTTACTAGAAAACAAGATTGGACTGAAGGGAATTTCTTTGGCAAGAAGAAAGCTAAAATATCATCCTCCCCGTGTACTTTCGAAGGCAGCATTTCGTTTTTTGGACTTTTGCGAGAAGGACGTTTGCGTGAGAGAAATGACGAAACGTATATACTTCAGCTGATAGTTCGCCTTCGCGACAATTTCGCGACGGCTTTCACAAGCGCGATTCTTTTCGCGTCGCACCGCTGTCCACTGTTCCGATAAGGGCGGCCGCGGTTGAATTTGTAACAGTGGTGTGATAAAACTGGCAGCTTCTACTTTCAAGCGAACCGCGCACGCGATAGCCGCGCGCACGTGCGTCGGGATTTACGCACGAATAAGCCCTCAAATCGCTCTTGCGTTTAACGACACGTTTCGCTTTGCCGCCACGAATGATTTTCTCCCGCCGTCGTGTACGCCATGGGTCGGCGAGTTCTTTTTCGCGAGGACTGCAATTACGCACGTGCGCGCGCGGACTCCGCTCCTGTATCGCGACTTCGCCGAAATCGCACCGCTTCGTCTTCCGCTCGTTGAGTCACGTGGAATTTTCAATTTCTTCCGGCCGCGGTTCCGCTCGGAATATGACTCGAGAATATGAATAAAACATGCCGGAGCGTTCTGAATCGGTTATGCATCGAAATTTATTCCGTCGTCATTCGCGCCGACTTCTACTCATCCTCCGCTGAGTAACCCTTCGGATTTACACTTCGGTTTTGCGACTCGCGCGAACTTTGGTTTAATTCGATCTGCCTGCGGCGGCGGCAGCGGCGATTGCTACGTGCGCATTCCGCTCTCGCTCGGCTCCTACTCGAGACAATACTTCTCGTTTATCAACTGGCAATTAATCATTTTTGTTTGCGTGCTGTCGTATTAATCGTACTAACATAAGAATCATCCTACAATAGACGCAGGCCACATGGCGTTTCTCACTCGACTTATCTGCCAGTAGATTTCTGCCTGCGCCAAGCCGCCTGCACCGAGACTATTTTACGACGACATTTGCTGCGTTTATTAACATTCTTAATTAATCAATTCTATTTGCACGCTGACCCATCAATCGTGCCGGTACAAACTCGATATCGGCGTCGGGCAGCAGTTGATTCAAATTTTCGTTGACTAAAACGATTGAAAGTAACGTCGAGCAAATCATGATTATACACAATATGGCTGCGTTCAGAAAACACAACGGTTACACAACGGTTGAGTAATTCGTCAACGTTATTGGTCTGAATGTAAGGATCTAACAGTAAGGACCAATAGTTACTAAGCGCTCAGTGAGCGCTTCGTTTTCTGAACGCAACTAATGGGTACGTTCACGAAGCTCAACAGTTGCACAACAGTTCAGAGCATCCGATGAGTGAGCGATGAGTGAGCAGTAGAAATGTACACTGAACGCAACTGGTCAGAGTTCTGCGCGATTTTGTTGCGCGGACAAAATGTCAGATAAACGTACTAAATATTATGGCCCGTCTACACGCTTATGTGTTGTTTTGTAATTATTAAGTATTTTTATAAATATAATTCATGTGTTTGTTATAATGTATTCTACACCTATCCTTGACATTCCCCGCTATATATATTTGGATTTATATGACTCTTTTCTTTGTTATTTTCTTTATTCATGGAGTGCGCCGTGTTGAATCGGAGACTGATCAGTAAAGGTAGCGACGATTATTTATGATGAGAAAAACGGCGACCGCTCACTCAACATGTTGCGAGTGAGCGCATCGCTCAGTTAGCGTTCAGGACGAAATCACTCAACAGTTGCACAACCATTGAGTGTCGTGAACGCACCCCCCATTGATTGATTCAAGCGACTGCTTTCGGTTTGACCGATCGTGATTAATAATTTACTGTGCGTCGTCGATCGTTATTTCATTCGTTAAATAATTATATTATTCGTCATTTTTCGATCGTTCACGTTTTCGATCGAGATTTTTATATCCAATATCAGTGTCCGCAATACGGAACGCATGGTTTTCGGATTTTTTATAATACTTCCCCGAATTTTAACCTGCCCGATTGCTGCAGGATATTCTCTGCCGATTCCACGTCGGGGCTGAATCAAGAACGCGAAACGAGAGAGAGAGAGAGAGAGAGGAGTGTTGCGCGAACATATAGATCGTCCGCGCTTAATCTCGCGCGAGTTAAGGATCTCGGAGGAAACGCGCGAGAGCTGTATCGAAGTATCGACACGCGATTCGGAAACGGCATGCAACAAGCATGCGCAAATGCATACGCGTGAATAATCGCGCATGATGATTATGACTGTGCAATCGTTTCGCGTCACGTTGAAGCCCCGCCGTGAAATTTCTTCGCGCGTCCCGATATGGAATACCGCGCGTTGTGGTATCGCGACGCCGACCAGCGTAGAATGCAAAGTCTCACGTTACTCTTTCGCGCTACGTAAGGCGCATTCCCATGCTTCGACGTAGCGCGTAGATAAATTCTGCGATGCAATCGGCCTGACCGTGCTGAGCTCCGTCGTCGAATTCGCATAAACGTGGACGATGAAGCCCCTCCAGCCCCTAAAAAAGAAAAGAAATCGCGATATATTTGCGTCGTTCACGTCTGTCTCGCGATTTGCTCGAAATCCGAAAGGACAATAAGCAGACGCAAGAAACGTCTGATTTGAGAAAGTTGCGAAAAAAATAATTGCCTCACTCAGCGAGAGAACAGACGCTTTATACGCGCCGGGAGGATGCGCGATCACATTGTATACATACAAAATTAGTTTCCGGATGTGAGGAGAATGAAAAAGAAAGAGAGGGAGAGGGAGAGGGTGGGAGAGAGAAAGAGAGACACAGCCGAACAATATCGCGGCAATTAGTACCGTTAGAGGAATTAATAATGCATTTGCCGCTCATTTTCAGACTTTCTATATAATTAGCGCAAAATATAACGGCAGTGAGAGCGAGTGATTTATTGCTGGAGATAAAAGCGCAATCGGTCGCAGAATCCCGCTTCCAGAGCGGAAGATCCCGTGATCCCGCGGCGCCGCGGAAGGGGCGGAATCCTCTTTTTTTTTTTTCTTTCCCTCTCCGCGCTTTAATGAAGACGAGCGAAGATCCCCATTCACCGATTCCGAGCGGATCTATCGGTGGAGAAATGAAAAGCGCCGTCGCGAGGCGGGGAAAAGTAGTTCCGACTGCTGCTCGACCAGCTTCGGTTACCAGTCTCGGTACTTTTGGCCGAAAGTACAAATAAAATCCGCGTCCTCCGCACGCGGACACGCCTCATCCTCGAGATTTTCTACTCATCGCCCCGGACGAGGCGAGAAGGCGCGTAGAAAGTTCACTTCGCGGTTTATCACATTGTTTTTATCGTGTGCGCAACGAAAGTAAATCTGTGCGCTGGTCTGCGCGAGTCTGGCTGATACCACCCACCCACTCGTAGATTCATACAGAAACTCGAAAGTCCGACGATAAAATTGCCGCATGTTGTAGTGCACTCGTGTGACAAGCGAGAGAGACTTTACTGCGGACGTTACTGTTATTCGGTTCTCGAAAATGTGACTGGTCCTCCCTGTTCTTCTCTAATATATATCGGCTGACTCATATATACTGTATCTATCGTAATCTCTCTTCGGATTGTTCGTTCATTTTTACGTCTGTGAACTTTATGATGGACGTGAGACAACAGCTCGCTTCGCCCTACAATCGTCCGCGTTGCGTTTTCTTCGTAGATAATCTGTATCTTATCGCACACACATCTGTGGGATCAAGAAGCATCGTGAAATTTCGACCGCTTTCTATCAAGATCGTCGCGTCTTCTCCAGATATTATTGGGAAAAAACACCGTCCGGACAGAAATATGGCCGTGTATAATCACGGTATACTTTCGTAGAAAAAAAGTTACATCCCGCCAATTATTGCACAGCTATGCCCGCTTTAATTGCTGCAGATTATGCCGGTTTTCAGCAACGAATTAAATAGAGCGGAAAGACTCTTACGCGAGCCGTACCTCGCGACTCCTCGAAGATGAGAAAACTTGCTCGTGGCGAGGAGGCACGAAACGATCCACGCGCGCCGCGCATGTATTCGTCGATGGATGATGAGTTAACACAACAGAACATTCATCGGCATATTCGAGGAATAAGCTGCACGGGAAAGGAAATGTCCGTGCATTTCTTCCGCACGGCCTCGCGCTATTGGAGAAACGTGTCGCACACATGGCACGAGAAATGACAATGGCAGTTCCAGTACCTTCACCTTGAACCTTCGAACCGCCGCCGGCATTTCGAGACTTTTCCTTCTCGCAATCTTCATCGCTCGCAGTTTCCCACTGCGAGGCACATGTATCGAGTATATCGGTAAAAACCGTTTGGGAAAACGGTCCGTTGCCTGTCGTTTCCTACTGCGAGCGAAATAGAATCGAGCACGCCTCTAAGAAATTATCGAGAGAGGTTCTTCTCCGCGACTTCGTCGCGTTAAAGTTTGCGTAATTCATCGCGTCGACGTTACAGAAACACCGAGTGAGTGATGACTTCGTGCGGATGTTAATTGGGTGATCGATCGGCCAAATGGTTCAGCGATATTAGACGCTATCACCGATCCATTTTGCATATCCCTCACGATTCTGCATCGTAATAAGGCATTCTCGTGGTGGCTTTCTCCCCTTGTGACGCAATGCCCGGCGAATCGCGTTATGCGCTCGTTGCCTACGGCAACGGTACTCCGATTTCGTAGACGCGCAATTATGCGAAACGGATCATCCAAAGCTTGAAATTGATCGCCGCGATCAACGTCCCGGATCAATAAACTCCCGGTTCGAATTCACTCGGACGGACGCGGACGTGTGGCAACAACTCCGTCGGATTAATCGTCTGCTTAATTAATTCGCCGCGTTAATTGTCGAAGAAGGACGCACGCGCGGAGCCGGTGCCGTGAAAGCCGCATAATTTAATAACCGCGAGTAGATGGAATCAGTTTTCGAGGTGGCGAAACTCCCGCTCGATCATCATTCCGCGCTCTCCGCGAGCGATGTTTCGCAAGAGCGTAACGCATCTCCACGCGATGCGTCTAACACCTCAAACTTTCGATCGGGTGTCTCGTAATTTGCTGTGTACCAGCTTTCCAGTCGCGATATCTCCGTGCTTTTGAAGGGGAACCACCTCTCAAAACTCGAAACGCGTTAAATCACTGTCGTGGACGACTTACGTGGGTCAAATTATTTAAGTCCACGAGTCGACGAGCAACTTCTTACGATCTTTTTAACTTGAGATAGCGATTTATCGCTAAATTAGCGGGCGAATTTCACCGGAGACGTTTCTCCGAAAAGTCTCATCAGAAGAATCTCTCCCCGATCGACGTTCGATTTCTTTCACCGTAGAAATAACCAAGTAAAGTTTCTTAACGATGCATAATCTTGCATCCAGAATCCAAAAATGAAAGGTAATTTGTGCATTACTCTATCGATTGAATTCTCCTTTATGTCGAGATACGTAGAAATATTTGGAGAAAAACCGTGTCCTTCAGCAGTCTTCCAGTCGGTTTGTTTCATCGCGTGCATAACGAGGTTCTTTCTTTTAAGCGCATCGGACAGACGGACAAAAATAAACTGCGGCTTGGAACGCGTTACGAAGCGCGAGATGATTCCCGATGTGGTAAGCAGGAATGAAGGCTCTCCGAGATAAATTCTAAGTTTAGAGTTCGCCTCCGTTCTCACTGAATTTTTTAATCGGATGCTCCAAGCTCGCGCGGTGCATTCGAGATACACTCGAGAGCATTCTTTCGCAGCAATGAATCATTCCTCGCAGTGGATGGTTAAATAAGGCACAGATCCCTACTTATTAATTAATACCGCGCATCATCGATCCGTAGATTTCTCTCGGAAATCTCGCATTATCAATTACACAATGACTTGTGTCATCGGCAATCAATGCGATTTACGTCCAATTACTGCATGCACTCATGTAATGGCTTTGAGTGGCTTTGTGCACTCATCAATGCGTGTTGGTATCTACCGACAACCAAACCCAGGTCCATCGTTCCTGGCCCAAATGCATCTCGCACCCGTTCTGCCTCCTCAGCATCCAGTTCATCCAGCATCGCTCTTCATTCGCTTCGCTGCATTGCACTGCACTCGTGATCACTGTCTAACGCTGTTTTACGATTCAACAGAAAGAAAAAGTACGAGTAGTTAGTTAAAAAGTAAGTAAGTATTGTATATTATATAATGTAATATATAATATATATAACACATGTTATATTATACTTTATTTTATTATACACTTATTATATTATTGGGTATTAAACTTAATTTTAAAGGATTTTTTTGCGAAAATGAACGTTTATTTCGAAACAAAGTGATAAGTACATGTTATTCAAAGTATTGTCCATCGTTAGCTACAACTTATTTTCCCATCTTTCTAGTAAAAGGCGGAAGAACGATTGGTCTTTTGTGATTATGAATCGAGCAATCTTTTTGATGTCTTCTAAAGAACTGAAGTGCTGGGCAGAAAGGTGATTCTGCATGGATCGAGACAAGTGGAAATCAGAAGGAGCAATGTCTGGTGAATACGGCGGGTGGGGTAGAACATTCCATCCGAGCAGCTCTAGCGTTTCCTTCACTGGTTTTGCGATATGTGGCCGAGCGTTGTCATGTTGGAAAATCACTTTGTCGTGTCTTTTGGCGTATTCTGGTCGTTTTTCTTTTAATTCTCGATTCAGCTGTACTAGTTGTTGTCGATAACGGTCCCCAGTAATGGTTTCCCCAGCAGGTTTTAGCAGCTCATAATAGACCACATCCTTCTGATCTCACCAAATACAGAGGATTACCTTCGAACGATGGATAAGTGGAAAATCTCCACTTTTGAATCGTCCAAACCAGTACTCACAAGTTGAGATCGATGGAGCATAATCCCGGACAGCAAATGAAGACTTTCAGCTGCCGACTTTTTCAAATGGAAACAAAAAAGTAACGCTTCTCGCAAATTGCGTTTCGTTGGCACAAGATTCGACATACTGAATGCGCTAAAAAAATATGTTATTTACATTTCGACCAAATGAAATATACTTAAGATTCTTAAAGCCTAATGACAGGGCTTTCATATGAAGCTGGCTTCAGTACGGGCCGATGCCAGGATGCCGATCAGGGGCTCATTGCGCTCATCTCTTTGTAAATCCTTTAAAATTAAGTTTAATACCCAATACATATTATATTACTCCAAAGCCCGCTCGACGTCCAACTTATCGGGATGCACAATGTCCGCCGTGGCAGCCGCTCGCGGTAAAATCTATGGCATGAGTCAGCGCCGCGCACTTTTTATTTAGATATGTGTAATCGCCGGCGAAACAATATTATCTTTTTTCATCACATTCACGTCAGTGCGGTAACTCTGCGCTTCAACTTCGCATGCAGCCTCGTCGTTGCAACGAAACTTTTGTTTCGAAACGATCTCCTCGCCGCCGCTTTCATCTGGGGATTAGAATGCCAACGCTCCGTTGGCTCAAAGGTCAGCCCGGCCGACCGACATTCTGCCGCTGCACGACAGCAGAAGGTATTGTCTCGCCATCGTCGCTGATCGCGAAGCGTCGATCGTGTTGATGTTGCAGCACGGGATTTTCCGCATAGACAACAATCGCTAATTAGCACGCTGACTCTGCGCGACAGCGCTGTAAGAAGTGTACGTTAGATTCGCACGTGTCACGCAACATTCATATGAATGAGGAGGAAGGAAGCGCTCTCTTAATAAATGTTAGGAGCAAGGATGTATGAAGGTGCTTGAAAGATACACTGAGTGAAAACAGGAAGCGAGAACATATTATAGATTCCTCGTGAATAAAATCCTTTGTGTTTACCATGAAGGCTCTCTGTGCGCACTTTTGAAAAGCTCCTCTGTAAGCGTATTGACTCTTACGACGACGGTTTGTTAGACCAGTGCAATATATACGATACGCTAGTGAATTCGATGATAAGCAGAAGGAACAATTGATTTAATGGTAGATCATTAATTGATGCTTGGTATATTACTCGTACTCTTCGAGTACGTTTCGCAGCGTAATCAAATACCGCTTACCCTCGCATTTCGTGACGCATTTAATGATGGTGCGCGAGGAAAGGATCATCGGATCGGGGAGATAGCGAGAGAGAGAGAGAGAGAGAGAGAGAGAGAGAGATTGGAACGATAGTTGCTGAATTGAAATAGCACAACTAGCTATTGCTCCCGCAAGCGTGAAATTGATGCTTTCCACGCACAACGATAACCCTGAAGCGGCTGTGGGCCCGATGGCGTTAGCAGTAAAGCATAAACGTTAAACGATAAATGTAATGAGACGTAAAAGACCGAGGGAGAGATAAAGACGGAATGAAGGAAAATCGCGGGGCGCACTGAGAAGTGTGAGAAGCGGAAAGCCGTGAGGGAGAAGAAATGTCTTCGGGATTTTTCCGGCTTCGACGTCTCGACATTGGGATATTGGGACTCGCTGGAGGAGGACTTTACTTATAGGTGTGACTCGAGATCTGGTAGTAAATTACTGCATAATCGTCGGAGAGCTGAAAGGAAAACGATAATGTGCAAATAGAGCTGCGCGAAAACGTCAGATAGACGAAGGCCCGTGGGAAAGCGAGTGAAAGCAGTTTTTCACCGTAGCTTCAACGAACCCTCGGCAATTGCGAGCGATGCTGTTGGCGATAACGAGCACGCCGCGAGTACACGGCGAATAAGCGCGATCGCCTAGCGCAGCGTTTCCCAAATAGAGACGCCGTTACACCCGGAAACGTCGCGCGCCGACTTTCGTAGAACGCGGCTCCGCAAATCAAATCAGACGCGGCTTTTACGCGCGAGAAAATCCTCCGAGCCGCGACACAGCGCGGCTCGCCTTTGAAACCGTTCGAACAACAATGCGATCGCATTCTAACGAGATTCGTTTTCCCCCGCTTCGTAGCGTGCCGACCGCACGGAGATCGGTATCGATCTCGCAGCTCCAGCGTTTGCCCCAGCATCTGTTATCATCCTCGTTTGCTCGCGATCTGCTTTTTCTGCTCCATATAGAAGCAGCTCCGAGGAGCTCCATGGCCGTGGCGAATTACGTAAATTGGGAAACGCTGCTCCGCACGGCGAGCTAATAGCGCGAATGAATGCGCGAAGGCGTGAATGCGTTTCCTCGTTTCCGCGCGCTCTCCTAGTCTCAGTGTCAGTGTCGTGTACACGAAAGTAGAACCTCGTCACGAGGCCCACGAAATGCGACCGCGAAACTTTCACTTTATTACCGAGGCCGAATAGGAACGAATTAGCCCACAACGCGCGCGCCTCTTTTAATTAATCGACGCGCGAGCACCGACCCGTTCAACGCTCGTCGAGCGTGAAACGCGAGATTGCGGAATCGCGACACCTCGACGAGGTCTCCTCTCTCGCAACTCTGCTTCGACCACAGTCGAATTTCTTGTCAATTATTTCGACGCTTTTATTTCGGATGAAGCGCGAGTGCGACGAAGATGCAAAGGGAGACGTAACGAGTCGAATTTTCTAATCGTCTGTGCGTGGTTGCAAAGAAATAGTCGTCGGTACAATCGCAACATATGTATGCTGCGGCAATGTTGCAATATTACGTGTATCTTTCGTGCTCGTGAAAATCTCATCGGAAAGTCCAGAAATGCATGTAAAATTCATCTCACAGAGGTAGGAACGTATACTTTCTCGGTGGACGACATCACGTCAAAGCAGATGTTTCGAATCGCATACGGCATACGTACGGTCCCCTCATTCGCGTCTCTCTCTCTCTCTCTCTCTCTCTCTCTCTCTCTCTCTCTCTCTCTTCAGCGATCGATGTCAAACGCTCTGACACATAGCGGAACTTTGCCCCGTATGCGTTCTCCGGGCTTCGGTCCTCCGGTTGCGGAGGTTTCCTCTCTCAGAATGTCACGTGAACTCGCATGTACGCTCGCGTACTTTAAGAAACGCGAATGCACGTACGCGTAAGCGTTCACGTACTCTCCCTCATCTCGTACTGCTCCTGTATGATTTTACGGTATATGCATTTACCTGCTACATCCTTACTCATATCAAATTGCGATAATGAGAGACTGAGTGCTTTCAAAGATGAGTTTCGCGAGAATCCACCTCGTATGTATGCCCCATACGGTCGTATGTGAGTTTTGTTTTCTTCATGGCTTTATCTAAACTTTAGATAAATATTTATAAAGCCGAAAGTCTCTTCTTTAACCCTTTAACGCCCGACTTTTTTTATAAGTGTTTTAAGAATAAAATTTGAGTTTTTTTGAACTGAGACTATAAGTAGTGATAACAAAAAAAAAATATCAGAATTTTATGTCTACGAAAAATTACTTTTCCAAGCGGAAACTACTCCCAGACGCGAAAAATACGCCTGATCGGTTAAATTTTTTAGTCTTAATAATTTTATATCGTACCTAATGGTTGGAAAAATTCCTCGAAACATAAAACTCATATTCAGAACTTTATTTACCTGGAATGGAATTGCATAAAGCATCGAGAGATGCATAGGGGAATTTTACAGGTTTTGCAAATTATTTTTGTCCTGCTTTGCTTCCCTTTCGAGCTGCACACACAATTGACAACGTCAATTGTTTGTTGTTTTACTTAACAGGCATGTGCTTGTTGTAGCACTTCCTGATGTCACCAGGTTTCACAAAAATAGGTTGATTTCTTGATTTTCGTGTCCATCGTATTGGATTCGCCATTTTGAATTTCTGTATTCTTTTAATTTCACATTTCGCATCTGAGAAAGCTTCCAAATGTATAAAATTATAGCAGATACCAATCTGTTCATTTATAGTGCACTTCTAGATGTCAGTAACAATGCTAACTATGTCTACTTGGAATTTGACAAAACATGTTATCGTTAAAACTGAGCTAAAAACAGTCTAAACCGAATCTACATGCATTCTATACACCATTTTTTAAAAGAAGAATTCACCTTTACAGTGGTGCAAAGAAAACGAAAATATCTCCTTTATTGATTAAGTTATGAATTCTTAAATGCGTTTCTGATAACTGTAGTTACCAGTAGGCGTTAAAGGATTAAGATATTTAAAAAATATCTTCTACCATCGCTTAAAACTGAAAAGTCGATTTTTCTCACGTCGTTCAAGTGTCAAGCCTTAAATTTTCACGTGCGATAA